GTAATCCCAGCGACTCAGAAAGCTGAGGCAGGAAGATTGCAATTTTGAGACCAGCCTCAGCAACTTAGCAAGATTCTGTCTCAAAATAGAAAAAATAAAAGAGGTTTGAGATGTAGCTCAGTGGAAAGCACCCCGGGTTCAATCTCCAGTACAAAGAAAAAGAAAGTAGGGAAACATCTCAAAGAAACAGGCAACAGGTTGCCTTCCAGATGGGAAACCCTGGTGAGGAGACAGCATGGGAGAAAGATTAGTAAAGCTTTGTAACTGCTTATTAAGTCATTACTAACTTAAGTATTTTTAAGAAATTATATATTTTAATAAATTAGTGCATAGAGTCTTCTGGAAAAAGCACATGACCTACAGCACATTCTCCAGTGAAAGTTTTCACCTGACTAGCAACCTTCTACGTTGTGAGCCATCCATGGGCTGCGTGTGGTCCACCATGCATCGAGTCTATTGAATAGGAACATCTGGTGTCTGGGAATGACCAGTGGACATTCCTTCTGGTTAACTGCCCTGACACATTATGAATTCGTATTTGGTTCTGCCAAAGGTCCCACACAGCAGAGATGGGGTGACCTGCCAAGATGCCAATCGACCTGCTGACTTCAAGACAGCATGAAACAAGAATCCACCCCTGAAATCTCATCCCTGCCTTTGATGAACCCCCTTAAATAAACTGCTGGAGCCATTTTGCCTTGTCTAATTCCAGCTCCTGTGTGGACTAAACCTACCAGGGCTCCATTTTTGAAAATATATTTGATTCTTTGTCTTTTGTTCTTCACTAGTTATTCTAGACTTTAATTTCTCAGGTGTCTTACACCCTCCTTGGCAGGAAGAAGAACCCTCCAATGAGGCACTGGCCATCAACCCCTTTACATGTAAACATCTATTTTCTCCCCCACCTACCTCCTGGGAACTGTGAGCTTAAAGGAAATGACTACAAAACAAGCTGGGAAACCCAAGTTCTGACCCACACCTTTGCAGTAGGTCCTACTATTAAACACAAACCCATAATTTGAAGTGGACAGGGTCCCCAACTGAATGAAAATGGTGCCTTTCTACTAGAGTGGGCAGTGTATTCCTGTCTGCCTGGGGCTATCTGTTTATGCATACTGGAAAGCACAGTTATTAGTAGAAACCTGTATTGGTCAGCTTTCTGTTACAGCAACAAATATCTGAGATAACTTGTAAAGAGGAAAGGTTTGGCTCATGGCTGAAGAGTTTTTTCTGCTCTGCGATGGGGTGAGCCTATGGTTTTTAGGCCTCTGGTGGAAAGGCAACACATATGGAGCAATACCTGGTGGAGCAAAACCAATTGCCTCATGGACAGAGAGCAAAAAAGGAAGTCCAAGTGAGGACCTGTCATTCTCTCCAAGGGCATGCCCTTCACTGATCTGAAGAATGCCCACTAAGCCCTGCCTCTTAATGATTCCACCTCCAGCATCACAGGGGAGACCAAACCTATACCACACAGGACTTTGAGGGACAGTCACCTAAATTCCTTCATTATTAAAGGTGTTATTGTTTTGGATGAATATAATCACCCCACCTACACCCAACTGGGTCTTTCCCAAGCATTTTCAAACTTTCATTCAGATAATGAAATCAGACTCTATGCTTCTAAAAGCCCTGACCCAACCATTTCCAAGATGTGTCTTTCAGACAGTGTCCCACCCAAGCCCTGGCTCTTCACCCAGATGATCCATTGAACTTTATTCCTAAAAACTCTTGATGGGCCACACTCATTTACCTCCTATCTAGTGGAAATCATTAACATATCAATGACTATGGCTTTTGTCCCAGGAATTCTCTTTCTAGGCGTTTACCTAACAGATATTCTCCTAAATCTGAAAGACACCTAGCATCCTCTATGATAGCAAAGAATGCAAAATTTGTAGACAACCTAAACGCTCATAAGGAGGTGACTGAATAAAATCCACAGTTTATCCACACAATGGGAGATTGGAGCCATTATAGCTGACAATTCGATCTATGTTCAATGATAGTGGCATATCTAAGATTTACCCTGTGGAGAGCAGGCTGTGAAAAACATGGAAACTAGTAAGCAGTTCTGTCAAAAATTTAAAAATTGAACTACCACACTATCCAGCAATTCCACTTTTTGGTGCATATCCAGAAGAAATGAAAGCAAAGACCTAAATACTCATTTACACCCAGTTTATACAGCACAATTCCCAACAGTCAAGAGGTGGAAGCAACCCAAGTGTCCATTGGTTCTGGAAAGGATAAACAAAATGCGATATTCACATAAAATGAAATATTAATCAGCCTTAGTAAGGAATGATACCCTAAACATGCTATATACCACACATGGTGCTAAGTGAAATAAGTAAGTCACAAGGGGATGAATATGATAGGATTCCACACATCCTGAGGTACCCAGAGTACTCAAATTCAGGAAGGTAGAAAGTAGAATGGTGGGTTCCAGGTACCAAGAAGGGGAAATAAGGAGTTAGTGTTTAATGAGTATAGAGTTTGTTTGGAAAGATGAAAAAAATTTCTGGAGACGGATGGTGACAAGTTGTACAACAATATGATTGTACTCAATGCCCCTGAATTGTAAACTTAAATTAAGATGGGCTAGGATGGGCAGCACATGCTTGAAATCCCAGCAACTTGAGAAGCTGAGGCAGGAGGATCATAAGTTTGAGGCCAGCCTTAGCAACTTAGCTAAGGACTGGGGATGTAGCTTAGTGACAAAGGACCCAGGGTTCAATCCTCAGTAGCAACAACAAAAAACCCCACAAAGGGCTGGGGATAGAAATGGGGATTGATAGCAAGTGGCTATGAAGTTTCTTACCGGGGTGATAGAAACGTTCTAATATTAGAACGTGGTTGAATTAGTCTTCCCATGCTGCCAACAACAGAAATTTTTCATAGTTCTGGAGGCTGAGAAGTACAAGATCAGGGTGCCAGCATGTGGGTTTTGGTGAACTCTCTTCCTAGCTTGCTGATGCACCCCCCCCCCCACCCCGTCTCAGTGTCCTCACATGGCAGGGAGGAAGAATAAGCTCTCTGGTATCTCTATTTATAAGGACCCTTATCTAACCAATCATAGGGACCCATGCTCATGACCTCATCAAAATCTCATTACCTCCCAAAGGGCCCGACTCCAAATTCTACCACATCAGGGACCAGGGTTTCAACATATAAAAGCTGTGGGGCAATTCAGCCTGCAGCAGTGGTGATGGTTGCACAATTCTGTAAATACACCAGAAATTACTGAATTGTACAATTAATAATGGGTGAGTATACCTCAGTAAAGCTGTTTGTTTCCATTGTTGCAGCTCTATCAATTTAGGAGAGGCTCATGATGTCACTTCCTCACTTAATGGAAGGAAAACAAATGGCCCATTAAAATCACCTTCAGGACACCAAGTCCTTACTCAGTACAGTGGTCCAGAGGTAGCACAGAAGTAAGCTTAAGCTCTCATTGTTGTTGCTGTTTATGGTAGCACTGGGAACCAAGCTCAGGGCCTTATGAAGTTTATGTTAAAAACTTGCAGATGCCAGCCAGGCATGGTGGTGCACACCTGTAATCCCAGCAGCTTGGGAGGCTGAGAGAGGAGGATCATGAGTTCAAAGACAGACTCAGCAATTTAGCAAGGCTCTAAGTAACTCAGTGAGATCCTATCTCAATACAGCATATAAAAGGGCTGGGGATGTGGTTAAGCAACCCTGGGTTCAATCCCCAGTACCAAAAAAAAAAAAAAAAAACTTGCAGATTATGTACTTTAATTTATTGCTATCATTACTAGCTTTTCAGGGTTGTTATATACCTGTTTTACAGTTGCAGAAACTGAAGCTCAAAAAAGCTAAGCAACTTGCACAATCAGCGAACAAAGCAGAAATAAAACCTGTGAGCACATGCTGTAACTACAGAGTTCATACACTCTCTTGTGATTGCCTGGGTCCTGAAGAACACTATGGGCAGATCACAAGAAGCCAGGGTTAAGGCTCACTCCATATTCAGTTATAAACAATTTATTTCTGTGCATCCCACTGTTAGGCTTCATGGGTGACCTACAAGCAGCTCAAGATCCTCTTTTTTAGAAACCTGTATGCAATACAGAGAGGATATATGAGTAACTGAAAATGTGAGCTGGCCAATCTCTAGATGTTAACAGATGATACTGTTTGAAAATTAAACTCCTTCTCCATCTCTACAGCTCTCTGGGGTGGCCTGGAGGGTGGGCTTAGCAGCCTGACTCCATGGGTAAATTTGCATTTTTGCCTGGGCAAGTTACTCAAGTCCCTTTGTGCCTCAGTTTCCTCATTTCCACAGTGGTGGTGAGGAGAGAACCTCCACTAGAGGGCTGTATGCTACAAGCTAGGTAAGTGCTCACCGTTGGTGATCCTCCACAGGTATATTTGAACTTGACATCTAACTGCACAGGACTGCCTTTTGTTGGCCTTGCTACAAAACTGCCTTTGACCAGTATGTTCTCTTGTCTGCCATGGTATCATCTGTTGGTGAGGGAAAACCAGTGTCCTCCATAGTTTGCCACTCATTTTTCATTGACTCATAAAAATCAAAACCCATAGAGGTGGTGGTGGTCATTTGGTCCAGGCTGTCACTGTGTACACAGGGACAGTGAGACTGTGCGGTGGGGGTTTTCCCAACCACTAGCTGGCCCTAGGAGGCTTGTTTAATGTGATTATCACACACTCTGCCCAGTGAGCTTTTGTGTCCCAACTACTCCCAAGAGATCTCTTGTCTGTTTGACTAAAATAAGTAGGTAAGAAAAAAAAGACATGCTATGATTTTAAAGACTGTCAAATGCTAATTACAAGTTATTTCATTTGAAAGATGGCAATGAAAGCATTCGTAATACCCCTCCTTTCTCCCCCAAACCTGTCACTGGACCGAAAGCCAGTTCATTGAAAGCTGTGAATTAAAAACAACAGTTTTATGGACAATGGTTAAGAGGTAGGCTAGTTCCCAGGGAATGGTTGCAGCGTTTTCCTCTTGTTACCTTGGTAACCGCTACCTTGGCGCCCTTGTTGATGAGCTGAACCACATTCTCCGCTTGGCCTTTGTACGCAGCTATGAGAAGGCGTTCTGAAAGCGCAGCGACCGCATCCTGCTGGCTCATGAATTAGGAGAGAAAGAGGTTTTCGGCAATACAGTGGACAAGTTCCTTCGGCTCAACACGAAGCCACTGGCCTGGGCTGGCATCCACGGGTAGAGATGTTCACGATCATTAGAAGGTGCCTTCTGTTTTATTTTTTTTTTTTACTATGCCATCTTCAGGACCTAGGGATTATAAAACAAAGCTGTAATCAGTGTCATCTGACACACAAGTACCCAAGAAACTATGCCTCTTCTCTGACTTAAGGGCATTCTGCTGGTTGCACACTGCAGGGAAGGAAGCCAAAGGGAGACAGGATGTGCAGCAGCACACTCTCCACGGCAAAACCCCTGAAGGGAGTTTCTTAGGGGAAGGCAAAATATGCTAAGCCCCTTTCTCTTTCTCCCACTTCAGCAATATTCTCCAGAGAAGAATAACCAGGACTTCAAGGATGGCTCTGCATTTTAGTCCTGGGTAGAAGAGGCCTAATATAATCTCCCAGACACCAGCTGGTTTACACACCCACCTCCAGCAGATAACCATACTGTGCATCTTTACCAACAACATTCTGGACCAGGTTTTTTGGGTCCACCGCAGCTGGCCTGCTGATTCACAAAGGCAGGCTGAGGTTGGTGGACTACACCTCCCAGAGTGACAGATGGGATCTCTCTCTGGGGTTTTTCTCGCTGCACTCATTGCAATTGTCTCCCTTTACCCTGTTCTTACTGTAATAGTACAGTCTCCCGAGTTCTGGAACAGATGGAGAGCTGGGCACAGGCTCCGCTGACTCCCAGTTTCAGATTGCCGAAACAATCCACCTTGGGACCCACATGGATGCTAAACCTGACAGCAGCTCTGTCTATTCAGGAGAGGCTCATGGTGTTGCTTCTTCACTTAATGGAAATAAAACAAATGGCCCACTAAAGTCACCTTCAGGACACTAAGTCCCGACTCTGGGCAGTGGTCCAGAGGTAGCAACCAGAAATAAACTTAAGCTCTTTCCACCCAGTGACCAAAATGAACAGGATTTAAAAGATTGACTCCTCTCAGTAACCCCAGTCACCATTAGACCAAACCCAAGCCACTGATAACTGTTTCAAAGGGGAAGAGTTCTTTGGGCAGAAGAAGGGATGCTTAGAGATCTAACCGACTCCTGCTAGGAGAACAAGTAAGGACTTCTTTGTTTTTTAAACCACTTATTAAAACATCAATATATACAAATGGAAATAAAGCACTGTATCCAAAAAATACCATTCTTCAACCCAGACCACACCACACCTTCTAATTCTAAAGGTCTAGAAGATACCAGCATCTTTTACAATTGCTTCCAGCAAACTCAGTAATTCTTTCAGTCTCTAGAGATTAAGGCCATTTACCCTGACCTGGCTTGGAAAGGTCTTGGCCATATTGGGCTCAAGCAGTCATCTGGTCAACCACTTTGGGAGACTGGGGTTAAGGGCCCACACAGAGAACAGACATAGGACATCTTTCTGCTAGGACTATGGTGGGTTTTACAAATGGCATTTTATTACAGAAAGTGTTAGCCAAAAATAAATACTGTAACTTTAGAAAGATAATTGTTATACCCACAAAGCAATTTGTGCATCATTACATTTTTTATTGTTTTTCATCTCTAACCCAAAATGCAGGCAAAGGGTAGCAAGGAGAGGAAAAATAGAAGGAATATGGAAAACCCATCCTTCTCACCAGACTCATTAGAAGCATGACAAATGTGAAGGTGACATCCAAAGCAGGGATGCCTGGAGTAGCTACAGTCACAGATCCTTGGAATGCATCAGAAATATTTCTGAACACAAAGGTCAATGAAAAAATAAAGTTAAGACTCAAAAACACAGAGATGGAGCAAGAAATTCCATTGAAAGTTTCTATAGCCACACTGTTTGGGCTTTATGCTTTCTAAATTGTCATAGTATTTGGAACTGATCTGTGTTTATCAACACAAGTACAACATCTTTTTATTTAAACTAATTATACTAAGTTTCTGCTCTGTTTACCCAAATATTGCAAAATCACTCCAGGCCCAAATGCAAGGAAAATACACAACATTAGACATGGGTTCCTAAATGATCTCCTTTCTCAGCCATTCTCTCCTTCATTCTACCCATTTGTTATCTCTGTACATTTGACCTTACCCCCCCCCCATTCCATTCCAGAACCTTTTATGCAATGGGTATTTTAGTCCAATGGCTCAGTTTATACAAAAATTACGCCTAAAATTCTACTCCATAGCTTAGCTCTTAAGGCTACAGACCTTGGCCGCAATCTTAACCGAGGTCACACCAGCAACATTGCTCAGTCTCCTCAGTAAGGGACACAAGGTCCAACTGGCTTCAGGTGAATTGATGGCCATTCCGCTTCTACTCTCCCGTCTCATGCAACAAATTCAGCCTCTCAGCCTGCATAAGAACTTCTGGCTGAATGAGCCTTGTTTAGACGATTGCCATTTAAATGTCCAACCCATATCTTTTTTATTTTTTAGTTGTAGTTGGACACAATTCCTTTATTTCACTTATTTATTCTTATGTGGTGCTGAGGATTGAACCCAGGGTCTCGCACGTGAGAGGTGAGTGCTCTACCGCTAAGCCCCAGCCCCAGCCCTCATTATTAATTTTTCTAGAAAAACACTACAGTGTTGAGAAAATTTTGATTGGCCAGAAATGTCATTTTGTTTTTTACTTTTCAGTTACATCTATTTAAGGATGCTCTTTACACCTCTGTCCCACCACCACCACCACCAATATACCCATAGAACAGCTTGCAGGAGAGGTGGGCTGGGAAGAAAGATAATCTGGATACTCCCCAACCCCCATCAGAGTTGCACAGAAAACTGCCTGCAAAATGAGGAACAAAACGCCAGATTCCAATCCCTAGTCTGCTAACAGCAGTACTTGGACATCTTGAGCTCATTCCCAATTTAAGTACAGTAACAGCTTCACTGCTGGGACCTCCAGCATTTGCCTATAGGTGTTTCACACAGGGTAGATATGAAGAGATCATAGCAGCTGAGTCTTCTCTGCTTCCCATCTCCTCCTGCACCCTCACTTGGAGTGAGAAGATATTCTGCTTCTCATCTGATGCCTGGAAATCAGCAGGTCAGGCAGGACAGAGCCAGGTGAGGGCCAAGGGGTAAGAGGGGATGGACAACCCCCTACAGTGTAATAAAAGTGGCAACCAGCCTGCAGTTAATGAGTTAACTCCACTGCCAACCTGTTGGGCCTGGCGTAGCAACCCCATTCCCTCATTAAATCTGAGCTTCCTCTTCCAAATAGATAGCTACCATCCGAGACATTTTCCACTCCTGGCAGTGAGGAATTTCTTCTGCCCCAAGCCTATCTTTGTCACAATGCTCATTTTACACAGTGTTCTGGAGGAAAAACCTTAAGTGCAAGCATGCTGCCCATTTTTAACCAGAAAAGAAATTCATGAGTGTAAGTATATAATAAGCACCCCAAATCCAGAAAGGAATTCAGCCTAAGAAAGAAAGAATACCCTCTTCCCTGCCCGTTGCCCATCATTGTTTTCCAATTTGCCAATTCCTTTGTCTCTTATCACAAATGCCAGAAGGTCACACAGCTGCTTGGTCTGTGATGTGATAGGTTTTCTTTACACAGCAAGAGTCTAAGGTTTGCTTTTGCCGTTTTCTTGCAGATTTATAATAATGTTGCCTGGTGCCAATATCTCAAAGCCACTACGTTCAAGTCTCCTGACAGGCAAAATATTCTAAGAGGAGACCTTCAAAAAAAAGTCCCTAACAGGCATTATGCACAACCCGCCCAGAGACGGCCCCCAGGCCCCCAGGCCCCCAGAGCCTGTGGTCAGGCAGCACCACCAGTCATAATAATTAGCTTTGCTCTCATTGCTCCAAATCCTGTGTTGAAGGGATTGTACTCACATCCGGGGGTCTGTCCTCCCTGTTGTACATCATGTTCTGTTTCTGGAAAACTGCGGTCAATTCTTTGCTGGCGAGATCATTCACTTCCTAGGGCCATCACTCCCAGTGGGTCTGCAGTGATTTACCACACAACGCTTGCAAGCCCTTTTTTCCTCTTTAGTCTCCTCTGCTGACGACGCTGGCCACACTACATCTAAAGGCTTAATAAGACATCCATTCAGCTCGAAAGGTTTTGTGGTTTGCCAGCCTGATCATCACTGCTTCTGAAAGTGTTGGGTCTTCAGATTTTGTTGGACTGCTTCCTCCTGCCGGCAGAGGACCTGTAACACTGCCTGGATCGAAGAGCCAGGCAACGATTCACAGATCAGCAGAACGTTTCTGAATGATGCTCGGATGACGGAGAAACAAAGTTTGTGTTCTTTGAGCAGTAATGCAAGAAAGGAGAGAACATGCAGGAAGGGCCAAAATCTGTAACAAACCGTCTTCATAATAGCAAAACGTCTTCCCCTGTGGGCCCCAGGGAGCCTTGTGGGCTCCCAGGCAGGGAAGCTCTGTATAGTGACTGGGCAACACGGGAGACGGGGTCTGGCTGAGCAGCCATCCCTGGTGCTTGCAATCCAGTTTGCCTTACAAACTCTCCTCCACAGTCTCCATGGTGGAGGGGGAAGGGAGAAAAGGAACCCTTCATAAGCTTTTACAAGTGCTGCAGGTGGCACACAGCAGGTGTGCCCTTGTAGCCCACTTGTTGAAGCAACTGAAACTTCCCACCTGGAGGGATCATAGGAAGGAAGAAGGCTTTTGTTTTGGCTTGAGTCAGCATCCACACATTTCCCCCTATTTTTTCTAAAGATGGCATCATTGGCCCAGAGATGGGAAAATTACTCTGTCAACATAAACCTTCTGACCCTTTATCCCCCTAAGGCTAAGAGCTCTTGTGGGCAATGGACTAGGATTCTGCTTTGGCCATTCTTTGGCTTATACCAAGGACAAAACAGGCTGGGACTCTGGCCAGTGCATTGCAGAGAAGATGAATTCCAATGGGGAAATAAATTGCCAATAAAATAATAAAAGCTTTTTCTCCCACCTTTTTCTGGTACTGAGGACTGGACCCATGAGTGTTGAACCACTGAGCTACACCCCCAGTCTTTTTTTTTTGGAAACAGTTTTGCCAAGTTGTTTAGGGCCTCCCTAAGTTGCTGAGGCTGGTCTCAAACTTGCAATTCTCCTGCCTCAGCCTCCCAAGAATCTGGGATTACAGGCCTGGGCCACCAC